TTTTAAACTGCACTATCTTGAGAACGCGTTGTCCGATTCTGGAACCGAGGGCAGCATACGAAAGCTCATGATGCGGGCTTCTAGCTCAATATTTTAGAGGGCAGCAGCGCTTCTTCCTAGGGAGATCAGGAGACATTTACATGGCCATTCATCAGGATCATTTACATTTTCCTCCGTAATTCATGTTCTATTTGTCACTGGAAAGAAGAAAAGAAGAGATGAGCGTGGTCACAATGATCTGCTGAATTAAAAAAAATGTGAGAAAGCTGTTCAGATGCTTGGTTGTTTGATTGGCACCAAACCACAGGGAATGTAATTTCGCCCATTGGCCAAAAAAGTGCATTTGGGAAAGCTGGCCCATGAGAGGTCGAGATGTGGACCACTTCGAGTAAATTTTGACCGTCTACTGCATATTCGTGTGGAATGGAGAAGTATCTCCGATTCCTATCCGACATTACATAAATCCACTTCAAACCCCTATGCCTCGAGCAAAAATCATTTCCGATTAAGTCAAAGCTTGGATTCCTATGTGCTCTAGCTCCAATTGAAAGTGCACAGGAAATGAGGATGGAGTAGTCAAATATGCAGAAACAGAAGTGCACGGTGAACAAACACGTTTGCCGAGTATCTTTTTTTTTGTTTACCGCAAAGTTTTCTACGAGTCAACCCAGCAGCTACCTTCAGAATGCAGCAAGAGTAGGGTGGCCAACCAAAGCACTAGGAGAGATAGAGGCGAATAATGTTGACGATTGCTTGGAAAATATCTGAACGCTGTTACCTTTTTTGTGTTTCTGCCCACAAATGATAAATTGAGGTTCTAGCAAGATTTTTTTTTATATTTGTCCACGACGAAACTGTTTATCATTAAATGCTAAACAAAAGCTAGGGTGATGAAAACTTCCACGATTTCGTTGAAAATTGTCAGCACCATATTATTCTGAAGTACTTACGAAAGGTTTCTATCTAAAATCTAACACAACGGAACGACTGGCGCAATCCCGTGATACGATTGGTAAAAAACGAATTCAATATAACAAAGTCACACTTCGCACGGAACGGTTCTGGATTTTGTGCGACTAAAGCTTTGTTGTCGTCATGGACGTAACGTACAGGTAGTGCCCTCCGATAACTTACATACACTCAACTCCGACTGAGCGAAGGTTCGTGCTTCGTTAGAGAATGTCGAGTCATCGTCAATTTTACTGGCACCTGTAGGATCCTCAAACCAATAACTAATACGTTCTGGAAACAGACGCGTTAACTCGAAGCTACCCACGAATTTATTATCAGTGGTTAACCTTGACAAAGCGATAGTATATTGATAAAAAAA